ATGTGGGAGGGCGAGGTATCTGGGGTCAGAGGTCAGGTATCCGGCGTCAGATGTTGGGGTATCCAGAGTTGAATGAGAGGATGTTAGGTCCGAGGCTGGAAGGGGTGAGGCTGGAGTGTCTGGACAAGTTTGGAGAGGAGGTTAGGGCCGCAGGGTTGCGGGCGGAGTACCCCGGAGTCACTTTCCACCTGCTTGTTTCCTCAGGGCGAACGGGGGATTAAGGGAGCCTGTGGCCTGGACGGAGAGAAGGGAGATAAGGTACAGAGGTGAGGGGGACGCGGGCGGCTGCGGCCAAGGCCTCAGGCTGACCCCTCCTCCTGGTGCCTGCAGGGAGAAGCTGGCCCCCCAGGCCGCCCTGGGCTGGCAGGACGCAAGGGAGATACGGTGAGTGCGTGCACACCCAGACCTGGGGGAGGACGGGTGGACCTGGCCCGAGCACACGCCTTCTCTTCCCCAGGGGGAGCCGGGCGTGCCAGGCCAGGCGGGGGCCCCTGGCAAGGAGGGCCTGATCGGTCCCAAGGTACGGGGTCTCCCAGTAGCGGACGGCAGGGGAGTTAAGATGGGCAAGGGAGGTCATGATAGGGTCCCAAGAATTTCGGGTGAAGGAAGCTGTGGGGGTTGGGACACGGGGGTAGGGGAGCGGAGCTGGTCTCGAGGTTTCAGGGTCACAGTGGGCCGCAGGGTGGAGGGGTGGGAGGTGGGCAGAGTGATGTGGACTAGGGCTAAGGGTTTACGGCGGGTGGGGCAGGAGGGTAGCGGGTCAGTGTAGGAAAAAGGCGGAGGTGGGGGGTGCTGTCGTGGGGGTGAGGTCTGGGGGGTCACAGTGGATGGAGCGTCCCGGGCTGGCAGGGCCATGGGTGCTTGGCTTATGGAAGGTTGTGGCCCCTGGGCCAGGGCCCTCGTGGTGGCTGAGCTGAGGGAGGCCAGCGCAGAGGGTCTCCCATAGCTCTTTCTGTTCCCAGGGGGACCGAGGCTTTGATGGACAGTCGGGACTCAAGGGTGACCAGGGCGAGAAAGGAGAGCGGGTAAGTTGAGGCCAAGGTCATGGCGAGCTGAGGGGATTGTGCCCCTGGAAGTGGCTCCATCTTTGGGGCTCTGATCGCTGCCCCTGACTTGTTTCTCCCCAGGGGCCCCCAGGAATTGGGGGCCTCCCAGGTCCCAGGGGCAATGATGGTGCTAGCGGTCCCCCTGGGCCCCCTGGCAGTGTTGGTCCCAAAGGATCTGAAGGACTTCAGGGCCAGAAGGTGAGGGGCCCTGACTCTGACCCTTGACCCCTGACCTCCCTCACTCTTCCAGCCTCACGGACCTCTGATCCTGTCACCCATTTCCCAATATCCCTGCCCAATGTCCGAACCTATAACCCCTAACCTGCCCTACGTCTGACCCCCCAACCGCTGACCCCGGTCCTTGCGCCCGACAGGGTGAGCGAGGTCCCCCTGGAGAGAGCGTGGTGGGTGCCCCTGGCACCCCTGGGGCCCCTGGAGAGAGAGGGGAACAGGTGAGTGAGGATTCCTGAGCTTGGGGTCAGAGATCGGGGTGACCCCTGGTGTTCCTGAGGTCAGAGGTCACAGCCTGGTCCCACCGTTGTCCATAGGGGCGGCCAGGACCTCCCGGTCCCCGTGGCGAGAAGGGAGAAGCTGCGCTGACAGTGAGTGTGGCCAGGGTGGGGGCGAGCTGGGGCCCTGCCTCCTGCCCCCAGCGCCCTGGCCCCCTGACTTGATGCTGTCCCTCTATCACCCCTGCCCCATGTGCCATTTGTCCATCCCGGCATCTGTGGGTTCTTCGTGATCCTTGCGGTCTGGCGCTCCCAGGAGGATGACATCCGGGGCTTTGTGCGTCAGGAGATGAGTCAGCACTGCGGTGAGCGAGGCCCCATCCCACCCCGGCACCCCTGGGCAGGGCCAGGCAGGGTCCCCACGACTTACGGGGGGCAAGGAGCCAAGGAGATGGGCGGACATGGATGGGTGCAGAGGAGGACGCACGTGCTCCAGGACAGGGCTTGCCCGGGGGAGACGCAGGCAGAAGCGGGCAGGCGGGCAGTGATTCTGGACGTCCTGCGTGGCTGTGGGGGGGCGTGGGGGGGGCAGAGCTGGTCCCTCGGGGCCTGGCATCGGGCATCAAACAGTAACATCCTGTCCCCTCTCGCCTCTCTGCAACTGCTTTCACTTTGTCTCACGTGCTTGTTTCTGTCACTCTCTCTCTCTTGCCCTTTGCTGACCTGTCCCAACGTCTCACTTTTCCTTTGTTTCTCTCTGCCCTTTTTCCTCTTTCTCTCTCCTTTTCTGTCTCTGCTTCCCTTCTTCTCTCTCCTTCTGTCTCCCTGTCCCCGCCCCCCACCATCTCTCTCCCCGCCCCCGCGTGTCTCTCTCCCCCTGCCTCTCTACCCCTTTCTTTCTCTGTCATTGTCCCTGCGCCCCTGCCCCGCTCCAGCCTGCCAGGGCCAGTTTATCGCATCTGGATCACGTGAGTAGTTTTCTGGTATTTTCTGCCCCTGGAACTTCCCTCACCCCAAGCCCTGCTGTGCCCACCACCTGGTCCTCCGCAGGGGCTGGGCTGGGGTGGCCGCCATGACCACCCCAGGGCCCTGTGCCCCTGCTCCTTGCTCCAGAACCGCTCCCCAGTTACGCTGCAGACACGGCCAGCCGCCAGCGCCGCCCTGTGCCTGTGCTCCGGGTCTCTCACGCGGAGGAGGAAGGTGAGGACAGCTGGACCCAAGGGGCGTGTGTGGGTGGAGCACAGGTGCCCGCAGGGCGCTCCTGCCTGCAGAGCATGTGCGTGGACAGGTGGGGGGACCGGCGCTGGGGTTGGGCACCGCGAACCTGGCCCAGCAGCGGCCCCCTCACAGCACACCTCCCCGCTCTGTGGCAGACCAAGTGCCCCCCGAGGACGACGAGTATGAGTACTCTGACTACTCTGTGGAGGATGCCCAGGACGCTGAGGCTCCTTGGGATGGCGACGGTGAGGATGGTGGCGGGGCTCAGAGGGGCTCAGGGAGGGGAAGGCAAAGCGGGTCCTGCGGACCCGTGGTCGGCCCTAGTCCCTCTATGACTGCCGTCCTCCCTGCCGCCCTCCTGCCCTCCATGGATCCCAGACCCCTGCTCGCTTCCGCTGGACGAGGGCTCCTGTACTGCCTACACCCTGCGCTGGTACCATCGGGCTGCAGCAGGAGGGACAGAGGCCTGTCACCCCTTTGTCTACGGCGGATGCGGAGGCAATGCCAACCGTTTTGGGACCCGTGAGGCCTGCGAGCGCCGCTGCCTGCCCCAGGGGACCCAGGGCCAGGGCAGAGGTATGGGCCTGCCCTCCACCCCAGCAGGGGCCCAGCCCGGGCACTGAGCCTCCCCAGATCAAGTCCCGGGTCAGAACCCCCTCAGGCTGGGGGACCTGGGACAGACCCCAAGGCCAAAGAGCTAAATAGAGAGCCCAGCTGTGGAGCCCCCAGTACGGTCCCCTCCACTCTCTCCTTGAAAGAGCCGACAAGGACCCCCTCTCAGGTCAGAGCCCCCACTCCCGTTACCCCCAGGTCCCCCCGCCCCCCCCACACTGATACCCCACCCAGTGCTGCCCGGGCTGCGCGTCAGGTGAGGTCGGGCGGCTGGCACAGCTCCCACCCTGCCCCGCCAGGCGCTCTCGGGAGCTGAGGCCCAGGGCACGGGCTGAAGTTCCCTGACCCCTGGAGGAGATGGCGTCTCGGCCGGATTCCCGTTCCTTTCCTTGGTGCTAGAGGCTTGTGTGCACGTGAGCGTGCACGAGTCTGTCCGTCATTTCAGTGACTTGTTCCCCTGGGTCTCGCCTTCCCCCCTGTGGACAAACCCCCATTGTGGCTCCTGCGTCCCTGGCAGATGACTCAGCATGGGGGTGGCTGTGGGCAGTGAGCGGATGTGACTACGCCTGACCCGCCCCTTGACCCGAGCCTGCAATGACATGGTGCTGATTCCGGGGGGCATTAAAGCTGCTGTTTTGAAAGACCCTTGTTGTGACTTCTTGGAGGGATGGGGGTGGCAGGAGGCAGGTTTCCCTGGGAGGCCAGTGCTATCCCGCAGGGGCGCAGAGTCCCACTGTTCTGTGACCCTCAGTTCCCCACTTGTCCCCAGAAGGGAGTAGGTAGGGTGAGGGCTGAGGATATGTCCTCACTGCCCCCCAGGGGGGATGAGTCACAGGTGGGGGGCTGCCTCACGCCAGGAGACATGCCCCAGCTCCCACCCCAGGGGGCCGAGGGTGATAAAAGGGGCCCTAACGGGGGCCGAGGGTGAGGTCACAGCACAGCACGGCTGGCAGCCACCGTGGCCCTGACTTACCCCAGAGGAGGCTGCTGCTCCTGGTAGGACCGGGGTCCCGGTGGGATGGGCAGGGCCTCGGGCAGGGTGGATCTGGGATGCGGGCGCGTCGAGGTCTCTGGACCTGAGGGGGCTCTGGGGCCCGTGGCTGCTTATCCTGCTCAAGGACCCCCGCCCCTGCCCCTTTGTCCGGGACTTGCTGCCAGAGCTCTTCTTAGACCTCAGGCCCCCCTTGGCCTCTGTTCCTCTGCCCGCGTCCTTAGCCCCACCACAGCGAGCGTCTCGGCCTGGGTTCCTCTTCCCTCTCCCCAGGCTCCCTCTCTTCCCCTCGGCCTCCCTCCCATCCATCTTCCCCTTTCTTACCTTCTCTACCTCTAGATAAATATAGACATAAACATAAATACGAATATATTCTCTCTATATATATATTTAATACTCTCCATCTCTGGATTTGTCTCTTTCCCTCTCTGCCTCTCTCATCCCCTCCCTCTCTCACCCTCTGTCCCTCTTGCCCCTTCTCTGCCTCACCCTGGCTCCCTCCTTGTCCCTTCACCTCTCTCTCTGTCTCTCTGTCCCCAGCCTGTCCTCTCTAACTTCACCTCTCAGTCTCTTTCTCGCAGGCGGCCTCCCTCTCCATCGCTCTGCCTCCCCCTTCCGTCCCTGGGCCGCAGCTGTCCCCAGCCCCTCCCTGAGCCTGTTTTCTCCTCACAGCCTGACCACGCGATGACTGAGTGGGCCCTCCTGGTGCTGACAGTCCTGACGCTGGGCAGGGTCCCGCTCGTCCCGGCGACCCCGATCCCAGCCTTCCAGGTCCTCCCTCAGACCTCTCCTCCGGCCACTTCCCACTCTGTGACCTCAACAAGCCCCTCAGCTTGGAGGGGCCCCAGCCCCGGCCCCCGGCCCGGCCCACGCATCACCCTCTCGCTGGATGTCCCCCTTGGCCTCCAGCAGATCCTCCTGGAGCAGGCCCGGGCCAGAGCTTCGCGGGAGCAGGCAGCCGCCAACGCGCGCATCCTGGCCCACGTTGGCCGCCGCTGAGCCTGAGGGAAGGGGCCGCCTGGATGGGGAGACCTGGAGGGCAGTGGCAGAGTTGGACAGCACTACTTCTGGGCACGGTGCATCTGGACACTGCCACAGGGGGTCACTGCCGTGCCACACCTGAGTGCCTCACAGCGTCTGGACAGCCATGTCGGGTGACTGCCAAGGGGAGCCTTGCCATGCCTGGGAGCCCCACAGACTTACGATGTGTCTGCACAGCGTGGATGCTACCGTGGAAGGTCACTGCCATGCGAAGGCTTGCCACGTGCGGGGGCCCCACGGTCACAGAGCCTCTGGATGCCACCCCATGTGGCCGCTTGCACACCACTGTCCAGAACCTCCGCGCAGGAGCTCACCGCTGCGTCTCAGACCAGTCCACCTGAGACCGGCCCCACAGCTCAGCCCTGCCCCCACAGGTCGCCACACGGAAGTGCCGGCTGATGGTCACGTGCATGTTCTATGCTCCCCAAGGCGCGCCCACCCCAGATGGAAGGCGCTGCAGGGGGCATCTCCAGGCACAGGTGGCCGTGATGGGAAGTCTGTGGCTTTGGCAGCCTTGCCTCTGGGGGCGGGTATGTGTGTGTGGGGAGGGCTGTGGCCCTGTATCTGACAGCTGCGAGCGTATGTGAGCAGCTGAGGGCACACGACGGGACATGATGGGGCTTGGAGGGACAGGTGCTTGCTTCACAAACCTGGGTGAAGCGTGTACAACACACAGCCAGGCACGGGCCCACCTGCAGCCCTGCGTGCCCAGCCTCGGCCCTTGGACACACGTGACTCGGGGAGAGGAGGCCCAGGCTGCGGGGCTCTGGCCCGATGCTGCCCCTCCCCGATCGAACTGTCCTGGGCAAGTGCGCTCACCTTCTCCGAGCCTGTTCCCTCATCTGTAAAACCAAGTGATGCCACCAAGCTTCTCACGAGTGCTGAGTGACAAGTGCGCGTGACGGCTCTGGCATGCAGGTGGAGCTCAATAAATGCAGTGACTGGAGACTGGAAAGCCCGAGTCACACAGCGGCATGCGCCCCGGCAGTGACACACAGAGGCTGAGTCGCAGCTGGCTATGCTGCCCTCTGCCCACTCCCCGCTCTCCACACCTGGTCCCTTGCCGTGGAAGCGTAGATTTTGCCTCATCTCACACTCTGGGCTCCATCGTGGGCCTGAGAGGGACTGACCTTCCGGACAGTGTGGACAGGCTCGCCTGAGGGTGGGGCAGGCTCTCTGGGCCGTGTAGGCAAGGCCAGCTGGAGGTGAGGGCAGAACAGGGCAGAATGGGCGGCTCTGCCTGGGAAGAGGCAGTCCTGGCGGGAGGGTGGCTGCCTGGAGTGGGGGCACCGAGGTGGATCTCAGTTGAAAGCAGCCGTGGGGGGCGGGCCCTGGGCGGGGCTGGAGAGGCGGGGCCGCGGGTCATGCTCCTGTCTCCAGAGCCAGAGGGCGGGGTTGCAGGACTCCACCCGCTGCAGGGGGTGGTAGCCCAGGCCAGTTGGGTTGCAGGATGGACAGAGGCACAGAAGAAAGCGGCCTCCTGACGGACCCCGGGTCAAGGAGCGGCAGGCAGGGTAGGCACAGGGTGGTGTGGGATGGGGGGAGCTGGGAAAAGGCCCGGGAGCAGTGGGGGTGGTGCTGGATGGGGTGCGGGGTTGGTAGATGGGTCTCTGTAGGTATAGGGGCGCTCTGAGGGGTGTCAGCCTGTCAGTGGTCTGGAAGAGGGGGAACACTGTAGCCTAGCAGGGGAGAGGGAGCTGGGACAAGGGGGAACTATAAATAGATTCTTCCTCCAGCCCAAGGGGAGGGCCAGCCAGCTGGAGTGCTCAGGCCGTCTCTCTGGGCCCTTTGCTGGCCTCCAGTTCCCCCCTCAGGGGTCACACCAGTTTGGGAAGGTCCAGAGGCTCATCTGGGAAGTTTTTCACACAATTTAGCTTTAGCGCTTTAATCAGTATTTCTAGGGCACCTACTGTGGGCCTTGTGCCCATCCTGAGCTGCACTAAGCACCTATTATGTGCCCTGTGACCTGGTCGCGACCCTCTCTGAGCCCTTTCTGTGTTCCCTGGCTGGTCCTGGGTCACTTTGAGCACTACTGTGTGCCCTGTGCCAGGCTGGAATCAGCAAGTGCAAATAAGGGTTCCTGAGCTACTTGGTCACATGGCTCCATGCCTCCAAGTTGGAACCTCACATCTCCTGTGGGCTCTGGGCCTGGGAGACACAGGGATGATCCTTAGCTTGAGGAGGCCAGAGGACACTGAACTCCTGGGAACTCCCTGAACCACCCAGTGGCAGCAGAGGGGAAAGGAGGCCGGAGCAGAGCGGAAGGCAGGCAGCAGAGAGCAGCAGGCCCGCCGCAGCCTACCTGTGTCTGCGCGGGCCCAGGTGCAGGGCTTGTAGTGTGCGCACATGCAGCTGTGTGCACACATGTGCTTTTGTGCATTGATATATGGGTCTGTGTGGTAGTCACTGAGGTCCCTGCGCCCTGATGCTGCAAAGGGCGGCTTGGGGGTCGGGCCAGGGCTTGCCCACAGAACAGGATGGCAGAGTTTGAACATTGAGAACCGAAGACTGAGGACTCCAGCCACCCCACGGCTTGTAGCCTGGGACACTGCGGGGGGTCCACGGGTCAGTGCAGAGGGCACCACGGGAGGCAGCCAGGGCCAGGCGAGGTGGGTTTGCGGTGGGGAGACTGAGTAGGACAGGTTTGCACGCGAGTGCTCGCTGACACCTTGGCACCCTCCCCCGGGATGCTGGCTCGCTCTGGGATGGGGGGGGCGGGGGCAGAAGCCCCGAGGGCGCCGACTGACGCTGAGGGTGAGAAAGCCAGGAGCGCCCTTCCATGGAGGGAGCAAACAGGAGCACAGCTGCGGAGGGGGAAGCAGAGCAGTGCAGGGCGGGGACGTGAGGCTTTGAATTTTGGCTGCAGGTTGTGCTGAGTCCATCCTGCTCGGGAACTGGCTCTGTGACGCTGCTCCCCTTCCTCAGTTTCTTCCCTGAGACATGGGGCTATGGGAGGGGACATGGGCAATATCCCCAGAGCCGATGTGGACCCTGGCCATGGGGAGGGTCCCCAGGCTCCTGCTGTTGATCTGTGGCCTCCTAATGGGCACAGGGACTTGGGAGAGCACGTCTGGGTCAGGCCAGGGTCAGGCGGTTCGGGGAAGAGTGGGAGGTGGGGAGCTCCTTCAGTTCCTCAGAAGCCAGACTCAGACTCTCCGGATGTGGAGATGGCCTCCCAGACGTGGCCGTGCCCTGGGAAGGAGTGCCGTGCCCTGCCCCGGCTGCCTCCCACCCCGAGCCTTTGACTAACACCCTGGGTTGGGGAGGAGTATGGCCAAGCCCGAGGAGGTGCTGGGTGTTTGTGGGTGTTACAGGAAGCAGCCGTTGCAATGAGTGCTGGGGGATGGACGGGGTGTGGGCATATGGTGACAAGGACTCTGAGACCAGAGTGGCCCCAGGATGACCTTGGCAGTGGCCAGGAGATGGACAAGAGGGCTGGCTGTGCCAGGAACAGAATGAGTGGCTTTGGAGGTGTAGGAAGCAGAAGAGTGGTCATGAAGCACACCCTGTTCATCAGAAGCCACCCACGGGTGTGCTCAGAGACGCTGGGCATGAGGCGGAGGGAGGTGTGGGGGCGGACCCCGCGGAGGAGGGGTAAAAGGGGAAGTGGCCAAAGTTGCTGGAGGTTGGGCATCCCCAGGGGAGGCAGCTAGAGCTGGTTTCAGGGAGGGTCTAGGTGGCGTTCCAGCACGTGCACCTCCTGATCCTTCATTTCCTGGGACGTGTGCAACCGCCCCCCCCCCCCCCCCCCCCCCGCAATCAGAGTCGTCCTAAGGATCCTTGCCAGGCTCTGACGGGCTGGGTGGTGATTCGGAGAACTGACCCAAGGCAGGCGTGTGGCGGGAGGGCAGAGGGAGGGGGTGCCCCACCTGTGGCTACTGGGTTGCCCCTTCCTTGTTCTCCATGCCCCCAGCAGCTGGCTCCGGACGGGCACACCTTGGTCGGAGAACTCTAAGTAGGATACAGTGATCCTATCAAGGGAAGTGGGGGAGGCCATCGCTAGAGGGCAGTGTGATAGGTTCGAGCAGTGCCAGTAAGGGGCCCCAGAGCAGAAAATGTCCAAACCTTGGAGAGGCTGAGCTGAGAAGACGGGAGAGTGGCCCAGGGGTCTCTGAACTTCCAGATTTCTGCCTTGCCTCCGCTGCATTTTTAAAGACAGCAGACAAATAATATAATAAATGATAACATTAATGTCCTTTAGAGTGGATTTCTCAGACATTGACACATTTACTGTATACCAGGTAAGAATGATGACGTGCGCATTCCATTTCCACCGAGTTCCTGCAGAGCTGGTTTCCACTCAGTTGCTCCAGGTCAGCTGGGGTTTAACCTGAGCTCCCCGGCAGCTAAGGCAAAGAGAGAAACACAGTCAGTTTTGAAATGTGTCTTGGGTCCCTGCCCATGAAACACAGGAGCTCTTTCAGCGTGGTTGAGCAGATCGCTTCTGTGGGCTGGGGGAAGAGTCCCGGGACTTGGAGCGGATGAGAGGGTCGGGGCGGAGCTGAGTGGACAGCTGAAACATCAGGCCAGTGCTTAGAGTCGCGCAGAGGCCTCTAGGTTGGTCCTGACCAATCAAGCCCCGCGTGTCACGTAGACCTGCCCCATTGCAGGTAAACTCCGCCTTCCTGGGGTCACTGAAGTCCCGCGTGGTAAGCGAAACCTCGAGTGCCCTGGGGGCGAGGCGGCGATTGCCCTGGGCGAGGCCTCAGGAGAGACCCATGCAAGTCAGCGCGGCCGCGTTGGGTGTGCTGGACTCGTTCACCCGAGGCGAGGCCTGCACCACCCAGGACTTGGGCCCTTGGGGATTTGGGCATGCGCGGCCTGGATTCGCCCAAGAAGCGCGGGCCCGCGGGGTCCAGCTCGTTGGCGATTTGAGCATGCGTGGTCAGAGGCCGGGCCTTCTTTAGTTAGGGCGGAGCCTACTCGTCTTGGGGCGGGGCCGGCGGGGAGTTGGCCTTGCATCACGAGGCTTAAAGAGGGGCGGGGCCGAGGGCGGGGCCTCGAGTGGCCCGAGTTGGCCGGGCTTGCAGGGCTCGGGAGCCGCGCAGTCCGATTCCTCCCGCGTCCGTTATGGCATCCCCCAGGGAATTGACCCAAAACCCCCTGAAGAAGATCTGGATGCCGTACAGCAATGGGCGGCCCGCCCTGCACTCCTGCCAGCGCGGTGGTGAGGCGGGGTCCGCGGGGGGCGAGGAGGGCCGTCCACGGGGATGGGTGGACAGGGCGGCCTGGGGCAGTGGTCTCGCCTGGAGAGGGGCCAGGAATCAGTGGGGAACTGGGGACAGGTGAGGCTGCCTAGACTGGTGGGAGGGGAGCAGACACAGGTGGTGGGACGGGGACAGCTGTGGCAGAGCTGGGGACAGAGACAGGGATGTGGGGAAATCTTGGCTCCTAGAGGGCTAGGTCTGGCCGTCTTCACCTCTGGGAGAGCCCCCAGCCCCTTTGCACTTCACAGCGTCCCCCCTGCCTCAGGCCAGGGGAGGACCTGGAGTCCCTGCCCTGCCCTCTCTTCTGGCCAGGGTCAGAGAGCGTGGGTCTGGGCACTGGACCCGGTCTGAGCTGTGTTGGCCCTAGAGAAATTGCTTGGCCTCTCTGAGCCCAGAACTGTCAAAGGCCCAAGAGTGGGCTAGCCCTCCAGTGGGAGGGAGGCATGTCCCTTGGCCTTCGTCACCCACCTCTTTGCCTAAAATCGAGTTTTGGGAGGAATTTCAGGAAAGTGCAGATTTGACCAGGATAGAGACAGTCGGGGCACTGTCACGTGGGCCTGTCTTTGCGTCCGGGGCTGTGGGAGCATTCCAGGGGGGCTGTGGCCAAATGGGAAAATGGGAGGGTGAGACATTCAGGAGACGCGCTGAATTCATGACTCTGTCAAGGGACTCCCCTTTCCTAGGGTCCTGGGCGTTTAGTCCACCACCTGGACTTCCCGCGGGTCTTAAATGAGTCTGCAACCTTTTTATTATGGAGAAAAACAAAGATTTGTTTTAGGAGTAATGAAACATTGTGATGAATTTGCAAGTTGGCAAGGACCTCAGAGAACATCTAGTCCGACTCCTGGTACGTGTATGGAATGGGGAGGTCAGGAGACTGGGTATGCGTGAGGGTCTCCCTGCACGCCTGACCTCTGCGTAGGCCTGATAAGGGAGGGAGAGTGCTCTGTGTTGTCCTGCTTGGAGGCCGGCCTGGGGCCTTGGCTTTGACCGTGATGCGAGTCCTAGGGGAGACCACACTGGGTCAGGCAGGGGTGGTCATGGCTTTGACCACGATATAGGTCCTGGCGGGTGACGCGCCTGTGCTCATCCTTTTAGTCCTGGGCCCATGGCTTTCCATTCAGTGCTCTGAGTCCCCAGGGGCCCCGTCCATGTCTTCTGTCCAGACTTTTCTGGAAGTGTGGAGGTTGAGGCCCCCTCCTCTGTGTCTCTAGCCAGCCTGTGTTAGGGCTGCCTTAGGTCTTAGCTAGGTGGTGGCTGCTGTTCGTACAGGCAGGGGAAGGAGCAAGGACCTGGACTTTGGAGGCAGGAACACTCATGCGGCCTCATGGCTCGGTTGTGTGACCTTGGGCAAGGAGCTGCTCCTCTAGGCCTCGGGCTCCTCACCTGTGCAGGGGGACTGCCACTGTCCTGCTCCCTGAAGTTGCTGCGAGCTTCTTAATGAGTAGGTGCCCAAGAGGAGGGCGCTGGCCATTTTGTTAATGTCATCACTCTTTCTTCGCCTCTCCTCACCTCAGAGCCTGGGACTGAAGCATCATCTCTGAGCAAACCCCCGTCACAGGTGGGAAGGGAGCTGCCCGATGTGGGGGGACTTGCCTGGGTCCCACGACCCCTTGGGCAGGGTCTGTATTTCTCTAAGCTCCAAGCCTGTGATTAAAACACGGCTCTGGCCTGGGCAGAGGGGCTCATGCCGTCACACTGTGTTGCCGTGGGTGAGACGGTGTGGGCTGGCCCAGCACCCCAGCTGCTTCCTGAAGGAGGAGGTGGCACCCAAGAGGCCAGAGATGAGACCTGCAGGTGGTGTGGGGGTTCGGGCCCCAGGTTAGGGTCCCAGAGTTCACAGCAGGGAGTGACTCAGCAGTGAGGGAACACGGATGTGGAACCTGTGTGTGCAACACGTCCGGTCCCCAGAGGGTGCGTTCCTGTGGCGTTCGCCCTCGCACAGCAGGCCTCTGGCCCGGTTGGAGGCCACGGGACAGGTGTAGGCCTGAGGGCGGGCGGCGCATGGGAGTCGGCTGAGCACGGGTATGTAGGGCAGAGGGCCCAGGGCTCACTGCTGGTCTGCGCTGTGAGGTGGGTTGTCTCAGGTCGTCCCCAGTCTCAGCTCCTCTGGGCCTCAGAGGCCGATTGGAGGCTGTGGGATGTCCTGTGCTTCTTCCACTCCCACTTTTCCTTAGCGATTCTTCCTCCTTTTGGTAAAATTCAGAGCTACACCTGAGGCCCAGAAGCCGTTAACTCCCTCATCATTGACCCCTCAGCACCTGGCGGTGCTGTGGGGGCAGGTGAGGCAGGGATGAAGAGGGGACTCAGGGAGCACAGCAGAAAGGACAGTATTTGTCTGATGGCTTTTCTTAGCCAAAGGGCGGCAAGACTTCCTGGGTATGACATGACTGGGGTGTGTACAGGGCAATAGGAGAGTTGATTTCCTGTCCCCTCTGAAAGAGACAGTGACACCCTGTTGCTTTATTTCCAAGAGCTCTTCCTTCCCCCACCTGGCCCAGGGAAGTGGAGCAGGTGCAGCTCAGGGAACAGTCTGGAACCCACTTCAAGGACTTGTGGCAGCCCCTGCGGTGGCATCACCAGAAAGTGGTCACTGTCCAGCACGAGGCCTGTCTCAGGCCCCTTGCCTGCTACGGCTCCATGGTCTCGAGCAAATGTGCAGAAAGGGGAACTAGAAAGGGAAGCTGAGTGACATGTTTTCTAATTTCCTTCCGCACATACCCAGTGTCCTAAAAGGTGTGTCCTGCTGTCCCACTGCTCAGTGTCGGGGTCCTTGGGGGACCAGAGCTGCGCGTCCCAGCACACCTGGTGTCCTGGTACAGCCGTCTGTACCCCCATGTGGGCCTTCATTTGCAACTTCTGCACCGCTGGGGCTTTCCCAGTATTTTGTTGTTGGAAGCAGCACTGTTGTGAATAGACTTGTACTTTGACTTTTCTTTGGGGTCATTTCCTTGGAAGCTTATCTTGAGGAACAGAAGTAATAGGTAATTTATTGCCCTTGTTTTGCACCCAGCCCGGATTTGCTGCCCTGTCTGCCCACCATGGCTGTGCACACGGCGTGGGGGGTGCTGACAGCAAACCCCTGGGAGGAGGCCCTGGCATCTCTGGGAAGGCAGATGAAGAGGGGATGCAGGACCCCAGTCCTGAGGTCACGGAGGAACCCTGCAGGGCGCAGTGGCGCGGGGGGGCTTGTCACAGGGAGCAGGATGGGTGCAGGGTCTACCTCACGGGTAAGAGCCATGCGCCGCCCTGGTGAGTAGCCGTGCGCTGCCTTGCAGCTGCTTGAGAGCCCTGGCCGGCCGGCCAGGGATTGTGCAAACAGCACAGGGCCCATTGTGGCTGGCCCCTAGGACACAGGGCCTTGCCTGACTTGTTTTTCCCTTGATTAGCTAATGCTGAGGTTTTTCCGCAGGTTTTCTCATTCTTGCTCAGCTTCTGAGCCATGGGACGCCCCCCGCCCTCCCCTGGGGCCCACTGTCTGTGTCACGTTTGCGCACAGCAGCGGTGGTGGAGCTGCCACTGGCAAGTAGGGCCCCGTACTTCTACCTGGGGACAGAAGTGCCTCTGCACCCCAAGTCCCCAAGGGCAGATGGTGCTGAGGTGCACCTGTGTCCTTAGCCTGGCATGCCGCCAGGGTGCATTTATTTATTTTAAAGATTTTGTTTATTTTTAGAGAGAGAGGAAGAAAGGGAGAACAAAAGGGAGAGAAAGAGTGATTGGTTGCCTCTTAAAACGTCCCCAACTAGGGACCTGACCTCCAACCCAGGCATGTGCCCTGACCGGGAATCGAACAGGTGACCCGACAGGACAGTGCCCAACCCACTGACCACACCAGCCGGGACCGGAAGTGCTTTTCTATGGAGATAGAGCTAAGCCTCCCCGAGGGATTACCATCCCCTCCTGCAGGCACAGACAGAGCCCAGATAGGAGCTCAGGCCTCTCTGACTCTTGGCCGCCCCGGGCAGGGCTGGCCCTGGGGCTGCGGTGCTTCAGCCGGGTCGGTGTTGCACCCGGCCGCCTGTCTAAGGAGGGCTGCCAGGTAAAGGACTTGCACGTCCATGGGGGTGAAAGAAAGGCCCTGACAGGTCCCCACACCTGTCCCGCTGTGGCGCCACCTGGCCCAGTTCCTGAGTTTGGTGAAAGGGAAGCTCCCCGTGGCGTCTGAGGCGAGACCACACTGAAAGCTGAGCCTGGTCACGTGAGGCTGGCAGTGCTGCTGCCTTGGTGTCTGTCCCAGCGGCCAGGGAACTGGGGGGGCTGTGTGCGGACCCTTTCCCCTCTCCAGCCTGGCAGCTCCTCTGATCGGCCTGCTGTCCTGGTGGCACAGGGGGTGGCGGGAGTGGGCTGTCACAGGGACTCCCCTTGTGGACATCAGCCTGGGTCTCTGGTCTCGGCCCCTTGCAGCCCTCACTCACCCCGCTGCGTTTCGAGGTGCTTCCCTCTGCCCTGTTGTCCATAACTTTTGGGCGCCGACTCTGTGCCAGACCCAGGAACCCCGAATGGCTCAGACGCTTCAGGGCTGCCTTCGCTCCAAGTGACGAGCCACGGGGAACAGACTCCTTAGTGAGGGGGCCGGGACTGAGGGAAAGAGCACACACACCAGGTGGGTGTGGAGGTGCCAAGGAGGAAGGACTCGTGGAAGAAGCGGGTTTTGAGTTGCGCTTTGTACAGTGAAGGGAAATTCACCGGGGAGAGGGGAGAGTACGCAGCGGCGCTGGGTGAGTGGGAATGCGGAGTGACCGTGGGATTCCTGGGTGGCAGGCGCAGCGGGGCGTGCCCCTGGGTTCTGGCTCTGTCCTGCCTGCCGTGAGGACTCCCTGGCTGTGTTTAGCCAGGGGCATGGCAGGTCCCCCTTTGTATCTGGTGATGCACAGCAGGTGGGATCCCGCTGTATCTGCAGGAGCCCAGGCAGCCTTGGGCAGTGGGGGTGTGGGGGGAGGAACAAGCTTTCCTCTCCCCCCAAGGTTCATCTGCCTGGTCTAATAATCAAATAGACATGAGACTGATTAGCAAGCGAAAATAACCAAATTAAATACATACACACATACGTACATACGGGAACCCCCCCATACACGGGAGGTTCAGAGACAGAAAAGGGAACTGAGGTATAGAAGACATATGGAGCGGGGATGAGGGACGCGCCTTCGGGGCTTCGGCGTAAAGGCAGGAGGACGAGAAGAACAGGCTTTCTGACAGCAGAAGTTTGCCCTGCCCTGCAGGTAGGCTAGAAGAAGCCGTGTTTGATAAAAGCTTATGGGCAAGGCCTGTAATTCAAATTCTCTGTAGCCGATGGGGGTTAGGCAGAAGATTCTTTTGAGCCTCTCAAAGCAGTCGGCATACCGCAGAGGCACATGTTGGGGTGACTTGTCCTGGACGCCCACAGGAGCACGCCAGCGGTGGCCCGAGATCAGGGTCTGGGGGCGCTCAGGGAGCTGTATGAGGGGAGGAGGCTTGGAAAGCCTGTGTGACGCCAGTGCTGTGCCGAGAGGGAGGGGCACCCCCGGAGGCTCCTGCCGCGTGTCTGACGTGTGGCCCTTGCCTTTCAGTTTGCATGACCAACTGCCCGACGCTCATTGTCATGGTGGGCCTGCCAGCCCGGGGCAAGACCTACATCTCCAAAAAGCTGACTCGCTACCTGAACTGGATTGGCGTGCCCACGCGGGGTGAGACTTGGCCTGGGCTTTCCAACTGGGCACCGGGGCTGCGTGGGGGAGGGGGAGAGGTGAGAGACGGCGAGGCCGCTGCAGGGCCTGGGGTGGGTCAAGCTCCCAGGTTCGGAGGGTTGCCATGTGTGAAAGCTGAGCCTTTCCTTTCCCCCAGAGTTCAACGTCGGTCAGTATCGCCGGAGCATGGTCAAGACGTACACGTCTTTTGAGTTTTTCCTGCCAGACAATGAAGAGGGCCTGAAAATCAGGAAGTGAGTGGAGGGGTGTGTGGAAACAGAGAGGCCCCGGGGCCCCCCGGGGGCCCGTTGTTGGTGACAGCAGGGCTGCTCCGGAGCCCTGGCCTTGCTCTGCCCGCATGGGCTGTGGCAGGGCTGGGCTCCCGACCTCTCAGGTGTGGTGGGGTTGGGGACGTGATGGGTTTGGGGACAAGAAGAGAGGGCGCGTTGTTTCCGGGTGTCTGGCTCTGCCCCACCCTGGTGTTAATGAGCCCTTGGCCAGGGAAGGGGAGGACAGGGCCTCGGGGAGCTGGCTTAGCCGTGGGGACGGCCTGTGGTGGGAAGGGAAGCAGAGCGGGTGCAGGGGCACAGTCCTGGGGAGGGGGCGGAGTGGGAGGGCGGCCCCTCCTGGGACCTCACAAAGCCAGAAGGATGGGTGGAACTGGGGCCTCCCTCCCCCTTGCCCCAGGGTAGGCCCCCTCCTGTGCATTTGGAGGGCATGAGCATGTGTGGGGCAGCCCTTTCCGTGGCTTTGTCTGCTGGGTGACTGGATCACACTTCTGCTGTTATTCATGAGGCGGAAATTTGCGTGCGATATCCACCCCCGCCCCTCCCCCCACCTCCACTAAGTCCTTTCTCCAGAGAAACAGCACCAGCTGGTATCTGAGGAGCTGTGCTGTGCTCTTCTTGTCTGGTGTCAGCTGCGGGATCCAGAAGCTTCCTTGCCCTTGATGGGGCCCAGCCATCGTGGTAGGGCACTGAGCAGAGGTTGGCCCCGCTCCGCTGACCTCCCCAAGTCAAACACAGCGCAGGCCAGAAGCCACCTGGGTCTGGGCACTGGGTGGCAAACTCTCCCTCTGGTCACCAGATGGCAGGAGCTCCCCACCGTGGGTCTTGGCCCCCTGACCCGTCTTTGCTCTTGGTCAACTGGGCCAGGCTGCTTGCTTCGTCCTCCACGTGAACCAAGAAGGGAGGGGGAGGCCGACATTCAGGCCTCTGTGGCCAAGTTGTGGGTCAGGCTCAAGGCTCGACCGTCTCACGATATCAGCCCACACAAAGGGAGGGGACCTGATATCCCTGCTGTGTGCCAGCATGTGATGCCCGTTGTCACCCCCGCCCTCCGTTTTACAGATGAGGAGGCTGAGGCTTAGAACTCTCACACCAGATGATAAGTTATTTGACATACCCCATGGGTATATGTGGGTTCCTACACATGCATACATACCCACGGATATGCAGCCATACTGTACATGTGAGTATGCACACGCGGACACCTGCACATAGACTTGGACTCATACATGTGCAGTCAAGGTCACATAGTGTGCAAGGACACGTACACACACCTGCATACGTCGTGCGTGCACTGCGAGGCACACTCGTGCTCAGCTCTGCAGCCATGTACACTCAGGCACACTCAGAGAGGGTGTGGGGGGCTCCTGAAGACCAGCCCAGAATCAGTGGTTTGCTAGGATCTCAGCCATACTCCAGGCAAAGGTTTATTACAGCAAAATGATACAAGCATCAGGGAGGGAAAGACCGGTGGGTTGAAGCCCCGGGGAAAGCAGGCTTCCAGGGGCCTCCGCCGCAGACTCAGACAGGACACGCTCAGTTCCTCCAGCATGAACTGGTGATGATGCACGAGACCTGTTTCCTGCTGGGCAAGCCTGGCACTGATGCGTGTCCAGGGCTTTGCCGGGGGCTGGTCGGCACGCGGTCTGTGCCTCACGCGTACTGGCATTGCAGGACCCCGAAAGGAACGTTGGCCTTCCGTGTAAACCAGATTGTTGGTGTAAGCTGCCCAGGAAATTTTTTTTAATCTTCACCCAAGGATATATTTTTACTGATTTTAGAGAGAGAGGAAGGGAGATAGAGAACCACTGATGTGAGAGAGAAGCATCTGTTGGTTGTCTTCCTTACACCCCTGACTGGGGACCAAACCCACAACCTAGGCATGTGCCCTGACCCGGCGTCAACCCGTAACCTTTTGGTGCCTGGGACGATGCACAAACCGGGCGAACCACCTGACCAGGGCTAAGGAAATTTTTTTAAAAAATCAGTGTAGGGAGCTGTTGGCCATGTAAGTTCTCAGACCCCAGCCAAAGGTCAGCCTTGCATGCAGGCCTTTCAAAGGACGGTATTCTCCGGCTGCCGCGTTAACTCTTCACCCACATGGTCACACGCAACATGAAGGTGGATGCACACACGCATATCTTGGCACACATGTAGGGACGCACATGGATGTATGCATAAATGCACACTAAGCACACTTGTGTGCTCATACCACATGAAGGCATGTGTACACACCCATGTATACTTGTGGGAGCTTACGTGCACACATGCTGAATGCACGTGTTGGACACATACAAAAGCCTGCCCTCATTCATGGGTGCACACACACAACCCCATGTACATGTGCGTGTGCGCAGTCATACCTGTGCCTTTTCACAAGCGCTTGGGGACACTGGGGTGTTTTCTCAGATACCAACTGGTGTCCTACAATTCAGTTCAGCTCAGTTTTGGCACTGCCTCCCTAGAGTTAGCATCAGTCCCCCCGGGTTAAGGGCTGGAGCCACTAGGCTGCCTTCACTGTAAACACCAGTCTTGAGTCCCTGGGGGCCACCTGTACTTCTGACTGACCCTCCATAACTCGGGGGTTTCCACAGACGCCACCTCAGTCCGGCAATTTGCTAGAACCACTCAGAGCTCAGGAACATACTTCAGTTGTGTTTACTGGTTTATTATAAAGGATACAACTTGGGAACCACCAAACGGAAGAGATGACCGGGACGGGACGGGGGCGGGGTGTGGAGCGTCCACGCCCTCTCAGGGCACCTCCACGTGGTCACCCACCTGGACGCTCTCTGCCTCTGATTGGTCAGGGGTGGTTACAGAGTCCAAGTCAGTCTGCGGCCCACCCCCCTCCTTTCCGGGGTGGGGGTGGTGTGTCCCTTACCCACCGCCCTCCTGCAGCCCAGGTCCGGTGCCGGCTGACCTGCTGTTTTCTCCCCTGAAGGCAGTGCGCCCTGGCAGCCCTCCGTGACGTCCGGCGGTTCCTCAGTGAGGAGGGGGGACACGTGGCGGTGAGTGTGATGCCCTGGGAACATCTGGGAGAGACATGGGGGAGCCCATATGCTTCCACCCCTTTGCTCATCAGGCCTCTGGAGGGAAAGGCAGGGTGTGCGTGGCCCTGGGAGAAAGTCTGCAGCTGCTGTGCAGGAGGAAGCCAGAGGCTGCACGTGAGCTGGGAGTTCCCCTCCGGCCTCGCGGTTGTCTGGGACCCCGCAGGGCTTCCCTGAGTGCTCACGTTGTTGGCCACCTCAGAGGTCAGAGGGATCATGTTTCCTAGTCTCAGGGAGAATCCTGCCCAGCGTTTAATGGCTGTTCCAGGAACCAGCTGAGTCCTGGGTGAGGGAACATACCCATGTGTTGGCTCCTCTAGTCAGATGCAGGGGATGGGACAAGCAAGGCTGAGCCAAGTGTCTGCAGGAAAGGGCCCCACCTGCCCCCAGCGTGCAAACACAGGAACTATTTTTCCCTTATTTTTTTCTCTTGGAGGTGTGCCTTCTGGAGCTCTGTCCCCCAGCTCCTTCTGGATCGGTTGCCCTCTAGGTCTGTGGCACAGTTGTCACCCTGGGAATTGCCTCGTCCCTCCTCACTTGAATGTCCCCCTCTTGGATCTATTGTCTTCCTTTTCTGTGGTTTACTAACTTATTTTGCTGGACCACATCCTCCAGTAGCTTTCTGAGGAAGGTACTGTGGAAGTAAATTTCATGACACCTTGCACGTCTAGAAATAGTGATTTTTATCCTTATATTTGATTGCTGGGTGTAGAGCCTGGTGGGAAGCCCTTGCCCCTCAGAATTCCCACAGCATTGCCCCCTTGTATTATGGCTTCTGGTGGGCCTGCAGACAAGTATGGTGTCATTCTGATTGGCTGATACTCTGAAAGGTTCTTGGAGGGAACTGGGGGCTTCCCATGGCCATTCCTCTGGGGAGGCCTGTGGCGTCTTCAAGGTGATGTACCTCACAGGGAGTCTTCTCTATCACGCTGGGTCCGGCGGTCCTTTTCATTAGGAAACTCCAAAGGGTCAGAAAAATTGTCGTATCTCATTACGTTGATAAATCTGCCGCATTCTGATAAGCGATTCTTCACTCCACCCTGATTTTCAGAGCTTCTTTTTCTAGAACTGCTGGTGGCTGCACAGTAGGCTTGATCCCTAATTTTATCTTTTTTTTTCCATCATTTTTCTCTCTTTCTCTTTTTTGTCCTACTTTCAAGGAAACCTCCTCAACAGTGTTGTACACGTATTTCGTTGAATTTTTAAAGAAATGTCTGTGCTGACATTGTAATTTCCAAATTCTTAATTTCTTGTTCTCTGTTCCAATTTTTTACAATTTTTTCCCATATTTTTTAATTTTATTGATTTTAGAGAGGAAGGGAGAGAGAGCAAAACATCAATTTGTTGTTCCACTTACGTGTTCATTGGTTGGTTCTCGTATGTGCCCTGACCAGGGATCAAACCCGCAACCTTGGTGCATCGGGACGATTCTCTTACCAACTGAGCTGCCTGGCCAGGGCCAGAACTCTGTTCTTACTTTGTGGTTGTTAGCATGTTCTTGACATTTCCTTCTTTTCCGTGCTCTGTCTTTATTTTCTCACAGTTCCTTTTATTGCTTGATTCAGCCTGTTTTTCACATGAGAGGTTTTTTGGAGTGTCCAGTGAGCCGGGGTTGAATGCCCTTGTGCAGAAGGGATGCTCTAAAAGCTGCTTGGATGCGTAGGGGTGTGGGCTGCCCCTGTGGGTGCCGGGCCCGGGAGCTCCAGGAGCGGCCCAGGTGACAGAGCCGGCCAGGTGAGTCGGGACAGCAGCACCTGGGTCTCTGCCGGCCCTTGTCACAGGGACAGAGGTCCTGCCATGTCCTCCACCTCCTGTCCCTTTTGCCAGAGATGCCTGTGCCCCTGTTCTTGACCATCTTGATTCTGCACACGCAGGTGTGCTCTGTCAGTGAGGGCTTGTTTGGTTTTCCTGATGGGCCGGAATCGGCGACCGCGGGTCTTACAGAACCTCGTTGACATCTCCCCTCCCCTCTCCGCTCCTGTTCTCTTTTTTCCATCCCCCTTTTACTGGGTCCCAGGATGGAGTGAAGGTAAATATGGGTTCAGGTCTCCAGGTTTAACTGGTTTCACACAAAGTCCTGTTGGTCAAACATGAACTGAGCGCCTGCTGTATCCAGAGCAGTGCTGAGCACCTTCCCCCGTGCCAAGGGTTTGCTACTCTTCGGGAGCAAAGCACACCTGTTCCTTCCAGCTTCCTGGGGATGTGCCCCCCAAGAAAGGGGAGGACTGGCCCAGCCCTTGCAGGTCTCGAGACTGGCCAGGCTGGGGTCCCGGGCAGCAGCCGGTCCTAGCGAGAAGCCCAACCCCACAGCTGTCGGGTGGCCCCCTCCCCTGCCAGGGCCAGAGGCCCAGTTAACTGCGGATCGGTCCTAGGTTTTTGATGCAACAAATACGACCCGAGAACGGCGGGCGACCATCTTTAACTTCGGGGAACAGAACGGCTACAAGGTGAGACCTTACTGGCTCAAGTCCTTGGCTGGGCACGTTTGGGCCCTCTGGGGCTCCTTTCACGGGCATGGGACAGGTCAGCCCCGAGTGGATTTGGGCGAGAGGGGCTGCTTTTTTCCTCTCCAGCTAGTGCCTTCTTCCCTGGGAGGCCGGGGTCCTGGTGGCCAAGTCCTGGAGGAGGTGGCATCTGCTTTGGTTCCATGTTTCTGGACCCTGCCCCCAGCTCCGGAAGGAGGGCCACGGGCCCCGGCTGCCAGGCTTGGCCCTCGGGTGTGGGGGAGCTCTGCGGGGCTGGCCCAGCGCCCTGATCGTGTCTATTGCCCCTTCCCGCCGGCTGGCCGCGGTCCCTCCTGCAGACCTTCTTCGTTGAGTCCATCTGCGTGGATCCTGAGGTCATAGCTGCTAACATCGTGGTGAGTGGCGCATCGGGCCTTGTTGGGGCAGCAATGCGACCAAGGTGGCATGTGACAGTTAGGTCCCCCTCCACCTTTGGGCTTGTGCCTGAGCCAGCCTTCATTTGAGTCTTTCTGAACCTTGGGGCAGGGGTGGGAGATAGTCGAATGCTGGGGCAGGCAAGCCCGGACCCCGCCCCCACCTGGTGCTTTGGGGCAGGCAGGCCTTCATTCCGCTCCCTCCTCTCCCCTTCCCCCACATAACCCCTGGGACATGGGGGAGGGGGAGAAGCATCAGCCCCTGGGTGGGGGGTGGGGGTGGGGGTGATATTTACATATTGAGAAAGACTTGACTCCTCTCCCCTACCCCTTTTTATTCAAGGAATGGACCTCTAGGTTTGGGGAGATAGTTCACGGGGGGAGGGTCTTCCAGGCCCCTTGCCCCGTGGGCCTCCCCTCCCCCCGTCCCACAAAGATGAGGGGCTCCAGCCTCGGGATGCCCAGTAATACTCTTTCAGCACCAGTGTGGGAACCAGGAAGCCGCTGGACTCTTCCTAATGGGACCAGCCTTCCCGGGGTTGGCCTCCAGCCTTGTGCCCCAGCCTTGGCCTGGCCTTCAGCCCAGCGCCCGCACCCCCACCCCCAGCATCCTGCTTGGTCCCTGGCCCAGCCTGGCCCTCAGCCCTGATGTGTCTTTGCTCTGTGCCTGGCTCCGGCAGCAAGTGAAACTGGGCAGCCCCGACTATGTCAACCGTGACAGTGACGAGGCCACAGAGGACTTCATGAGGCGCATCGAGTGCTATGAGAGCTCGTACGAGTCCCTCGATGAGGACCTGGACAGGTGAGCAAGGACAGCGCCGTGTCCCGCGTCTGTGATGGGCGGGCGGCAGGGCCCACCCGGCTGCCTCCTTGTGGCTCCCTGGGGTGGTGGCTCCGGGGCCGCCCAGCAGGCAGCGACAGTCTGGCCGTCACTGTTTTTCCCTCGGGGCCGAAGTCGTGGGCCAGGGGCGACTGGCAGAATCCCCGCTGCCTTACCTGGGGCTCTGCGAGTCTGAATTTTCCACTGTTCCATCATAAAATCAGTTTCTGTGCAGAGGGCCCTCAGAGGTATCTGCAAACATGACTTCCTCTTTTTTTTTTCCCTTTTTAAAAAAAATTGTTGTTTAATTACAATTGCCCCCATATCCCCCCAGTTACTCTCCTTGACTTCCTTTTCTTTAAATGCACAGTCTGCATTATTTTTTAAAGATTTTATTTATTTATTTATTTTAGAGAGGAGAAGGGAGGGAGAAAGAGAGGGTGAGAAACATCGATGTGTGGTTGCCTTTCATGCACCCCCTATTAGGGACCTGGCTCACAACCCAGGCATGTGCCCTGACTGGGAATCGAACCAGTGACCCTTTGGTTTGTAGGCCGGCACTCAATCCACTGAGCCACACCGGCCAGGGCCACAGTCCGCATTATGAGAAGGGGGAGTGGTCGCCCGACTCTGCCTGGCGGCAGCTGTCAGTGGCTAGTGTGGCAGCGCCCCTCTCTCCTTCTAGAGAGGACGATCTGGCAAGAGTGAGTGGTGGGTGGGGAGGGGTCTTTAGGTCCGTGGTGGGCACTCAGCTGGGGCTCTTAGGGCAGCAGCCACCTCACTTTTTGTACAAAGAGCCAGGGAGAAAAGGTTTTAGGCTTTGGGGCCCACAGCCAACGCTGCCATTGCAGTGCAAAGGGAACTTAGACAGTATGTACATAAATGAGCAGGACCGTGTTTACCAGAACGGGCCAGGGGCTAAGTGTGACTCGCTGGCCAGCTCCTGGCTCACACAAGTGGTGGCAGTACTTGGGTAAAAAGCAGTGCAACCCTTTGGTGAAGTGTTGCATAGTCATTAGAAACCAGACCAAAGAGAAAAAGACACGTGCATGTCATGCAGCATGGAGTGAAAAGGCTGGAGCGTGAATTTGCACTTGGGTCATTTATAATTACGTAAGAATAAGCAGTGCACGTGAACCAAGGAGAAGCAGCGGCTGGTGGCGGGCCGGTTTCCGGGGCCGGGACTGCTGGACCGGCTGTGGGTCCGCTGGGCTTGGCAGCCTGCCCAAGCTGGCTGGGGCTCCACGGCGCTTGCTGCCTGGGCCTCGGGTTTTCCGAGCGCCCCCCTCTCCCCAGCACGGCGTTTCTCCTCGTGGTTCTGTGATGTGACCGCAGTAGAGGTACTTGTCCGGAGCTGCTCCTGTTGGACTGTCAGTAAATGTCACTGCTATTTTTTTTTTTTTTCCAAATACTGATTTTAGAGAGGAAGGGGGAGAGAGAGAGAAACATCAATATGAGAAACATTGATTGATTGCCTCCCATATGTGCGCTGACCAGGGTTCAAACCCGCAACTCAGGCAAGTGCCCTGGCCAGGAATTGAACCCCCAGCCTTTTGGTGCATGGGGTGATGCTCCCACCAACCGAGCCGCCCAGCCAGGGCAGTTGCTGTTATTTTAATTGGTGGTGTCTGTGTAACACCCCTAAACCTAGAACAGGGTTTCACGGACGATCCCGACAGTGAGAACATCCAGGAAGCCCTGGGCTGAAGCCGAGCACAACACCTGAGAAATCCCACCTTCTCCTCCTGCGGCGCCCCTCCCCGCACAGCCGTAAACAGAAAAGCTGGCTCTCTGGGCTGCAAAGCTGCGCAGGTGCAGAGCGGGCAAAGCAGCTGAGCTGGGTGTCTTGGCTGCGGCCACCAGCACCGTCCTCCTGTGCTTCTCGTCCCACCCGCCTGCTGCCTGCTGCGGGGCATGGCAGCCACTCTGCACAGATGGCCTGGGCTGAGCTCCAGGGGGAGAGGTCACCAGGGGAAGGGGAGGCCGGGTCCAGGGATGGCTGACCAGGAAGAGTGGCGGGGGAGAGTGTGTGAGAGCTACTTCCGATTGATCCCGGAGAAAGCTGTCTCGTGTTCACCGTACAGACAGTGCATTGAGAGCTCAGGGGTAGGCAGGGGCGGTCGGGCGGATGCAGAGCAGTGGTGAACGCCACCGCTGGCACGACTGACCCCTCACTGTGGGTGTCACCTTCTGGGAGCCTGAGTGTTGAGTACCTCCCACAGGTCTGTGCATCACGCGTGTGCTGTTGCTCCCACCTCGTCCCCATCACTCGCACTCCCGCCGGTGGCCCTGTGTGTTGTGATGTCGGGCTCGGTGGTCAGAGAGGTGAGGGCCTGCCACCAGCTCTTGTGGCTGGCAAGATGTGCCCTCCGGGGCCCTGGTCATACTCACAGGCCCCGCTCGTCCTCCTCTCTGGACAGGGACCTGTCCTACATCAAGATCATGGACGTGGGGCAGAGCTACGTGGTGAACCGAGTGGCTGACCACATCCAGAGCCGCATCGTGTATTACCTCATGAACATCCACGTCACCCCCCGCTCCATCTACCTCTGCCGGCACGGGGAGAGCGAGCTCAACCTCAAGGGCCGGATCGGTGGGGACCCCGGACTGTCCCCGCGGGGCAGGGAGGTCAGTGTGTGCGTGTGTCTGTGCAGTGGCACTTCTGGGTGGCTGTGCATGTGCCTGTGCCAGGCCGGGCTCCCGCTCCTGTTGCTAACATGTGATCATCGAGATGGATGACCTCCATTCAGTCTAGAATGTTCCAAACATGTAGAGAACGTCACCAGGCATGAAGCAGATGCTTGGATCTCTGCCTTCCATGTGAGTTATCACTTCGGATAGGTGTGACATTCTGGGAGTGACCGTCCCTGCAGTGCAGCTGACGCCTGTGCCATAGTCTGGGGGGGATGCCGAGGCCTTCGTGGGGAGATCATATGCCTTGGGCACGTGGTCGGGGGTCAGGGGCAATGTCAGGGGACCCTGTGAACCACGGGAACTGCACTCAGGGTCTGGGAGGAATGCGTGCGGTGTGGGTGTCACTGAGTGGTTGGTGCATGTTTTTCACCAAACCTGTGTTCTCTGAGGCTGGCCATGACCTCGTGGACTCTGGCTGTGGGGCCTGAATTTGCTTGTGATGTGTTTCAGTTTGCCAAGAGCCTGGCCCAGTTCATCAGTGATCAGAACATCAAGGACCTGAAGGTTTGGACCAGCCAGATGAAGAGGACAATCCAGACGGCCGAGGCCCTGGGCGTGCCCTACGAGCAGTGGAAGGTCCTCAACGAGATCGATGCGGTAAATGCCGACTCTTCCCTCCCCGGCCCAGGGCTCGGAGCGCAGCTGCGCTCGGCCAGTGCGGCAGTATGAGCAGGGGCCAGGCAGAGCTTTCTCCCCAACTTTTCTTTGTTTAGGGTTTTGATTTCTCCCTCTCTCCCTGCCTTCCCACCCTCCTTCCCTTCTTTTGCATTTAACTATCTAGATCCGCCAGAATTTATTTTGACTTAAGCCTTAAATATGATCTTTCTCCAGTTAACTCAGATGATGGTTACCTCTAACCATTTATCTGTCTTTTTCCTGTTGATTTATCTTATCTACTTTTATTTTCAGTTCTTACATATGATTTGTGTGTCTCTTCATGGACCGGCATCACAATTTTAATTACGACAGTTTTTTAGTATATATACTGGCCATTTGTTATCTTTTGTGAGGTCTTTTGCTCCTTTGCTCCCCTGCTGGATTGTCTGCCTTTTTCTTACCAATTTTTAGGAGTTTGTGACATATTCTACTCTGGATACGGTGTGTACCTGGTCATTTTTGATTGACATTTTGCATGAACAATTGTGAACAATCTGAAGTTCTGGCTGATGTTACCTTTCTCCAGAGGATTAACCTTAACTTCTGGCAGGCGGTTGTAGGGGGACTACCTTTGTCCACTGAGAGAGTTAGTTGAAAGCTGCATTTTGAGCTCTGTGGAGGCTACACATTTTTTTCAGGTCCTTCTAGAGTTTTCTCTTGGAAAAGCTGTGGGCCTCAAGCTTCTGCTTTTTGTCTCCTGCGCCCAGGATCGCTGATAGCCCTACCAAGCTTCTGTTCATTCAGTCCCCACTTCCTGCTTGGCTTCTCATTCAATCTTTCTTCCCCAGCTTCACCGAAATGTAACTGACATGTAACATTATATTAGGTTAAGGTATATAATATGATTTGATACATGTATATACCTCAGAAGGCTCACCGCAATAAATTAATATTCATCACCTTACATAGTTACAACTTCTCCCCTGTGTAATGAGAACTGAAGATCTGTTTTCCTAGCAACTTTCAAATACACGTTACAGTATTGGTAACTGTAGTCACCATGCTGGAAATTTGTACCCCCTTTTGGAACCTTTTGACCCCCTTTACCCATTTCCCCACTGCCTGGCTTTTCCTCCTCTTTTTTTTAAAATAAGATTTTACCTATTTATTTTTAGAGACGAGGAAGGGAGGGAGCAAGGGAGAGAAACATCAGTGTGTGGTTGCCTCTTGTGCGCCCCCTCCTGGGGACCCGACCGGCAACCCAGGCATGTGCCCTGGCTGGGAATCAAACCAGCGACCCTTTGGTTCACAGGCCGGCACTCAGTCCACTGAGCCCCACCAGCCAGGGTACAAACCAATTGGTATAATCCACCCCACGGGTCATGGAGCGTCTGTCCATTGTTTCTCTGCCTCTGTTCTTTCAGAGCCTCAGTTTGGATAGTTTGTGTTGCTTCGCCTTCCAGTTCACTTACCTTGACTTCTGTGTTTTTGTTACACAGCCAGTGAGCCTTTCGTTTCAGGGGTTGTGATTTTAAGCGCCAACAGTGCAGCCCTGTTCCTCCTGTGTATCGTCCGTCCCTTTCCCAGTTACGTTCCGCTCTCTGTCCGGGCAGGGCCTCTGGGCAGCGTGTCGCCATCCTTGGGCTCTGTGTGTCTCAGCTCTGCTCTGCTGTGGTCTAGTGTCTAAAAACAGTTGTTGCGTGTGTTCCGTCCAGTTTTTTGAGCTGTTTATATTGGGGGCAGAGCAAATCTGGTACCAGTTACTCCGTTATAGCTCAGTCTTCATTTTGGAGGGTTTCTGTTTCAATATAAAACACTATTTGCATGGAAACCCACGCTTTGACTCATTTAAATATTACCATTCTGCTTTTCCCCCATTTTTTATGTTTTAAAACGTTTTACAAGCGTTTATTTGAGCCAAACTGATGATGTATGTCAGGAAGCAAGATCTCAAACGTTCCCCTCCCATTTGTTTTATTGTGGTAAAAATATATATAACATAAAATGTACCCGCATTTAAGAGTGCCATTTGGTGGCGTTAAGCGCGTTCACAATGTGCAGCCGGTGCCACCGTCCATCCCCATGACCCTTCATTCTGAAAAACAGAAACTTGGCGCCCATGTACCGGTAGCTCCCATTCTCCTCTCCCCCACCTGGTAACCACCACCCTGCTTTCTGTCTCTGTGATTTCGCCGCTCTGAGTACCTCGTGTAAGGGGAGTTATGCAGTGTTTGTCTTTCTGCGACTGCGCAGTTCACTGAGCGCCTCGGGGCTCATCCGTGTTGCAGCACATGTCAGATTTCCCTTCCTTTTTAAGGGTAAATACATCACGTTTTGTTTATTGATTCATTTATCAGTGGACCCTTGGGTTGCTTCGGTCTTGCAGCTATTGTGAATAATGCTGCTCTGAACACGGGGTGCAAATATCTCTTTGAGACCCTGCTTTTGTTTCTTCTCAGTGTATGCCTAGAAGTGAGTGGAATTGCTGCATCATGTGGTAGTTCTAATTTAATTTTTTGAGGAACCGCAGCAGCAGCTGGGCTGTTACAGTCCCACAGTGCAACAGCTCTAATTTCTCCACATCCTCACAATTTGTTATTTTGGGGAGGGGGGTTAATTTTTGTTCTTGTTTTTGAGAGTAGACATCTTGGGCAGGAGGCAGTATCTCATTGTGGCTTGGTTTACCAATGTTTTTGTCCATATTTTTTGGTTATATTTACTCCCTTTTATTTTTAACTCGTTGCTATGGTTGTGGGTTTTTTGTTTGTTTGTTTGTTTTTTAGATGAAAGGAGCATATCTTTGGTTTATTTTTCAGCCCAGGCTGAGAGGTTTTTAATTCAAGAATCTAAATACACTCACGTTTACTGTTATGACTGTTGTGTTTCATCTTGTTTTCCGTACCTTGCAGCTTTCTCTTTATTCCCATTTTTCTGTATAAACATTACCTGCTCTGTCATTTGGAAAATAGGCCATGTTTTTATTCCAGTTGTAATTACCTTTTCAAAGACATTCTTAAGCTGGATGCAAAAAGTAAAGGAATAATTAAAATACACTTATCAAAGTTAGTGACAAACAGGAAAGTAATCTTGACCGCTGGGAAAGGGAGGGTCTGTCACTTCCATTTGTTTTTTATCTGCTTGGTTTCTTCGTTATTGTCACTGGGCAGAGTACAGCACACTGGTTTTGTTTTCACCTGGCCTTTTTTTTTTTTTTTTTTTTCCCATCTTCAGAATTGCTGATCTCTCTCAAAAGAGTAAGCAATTCTGGTAACCCACACTGCGCACTTCCCTCTGCTGTGGCTGTGGGGGTTCTGTGCCTCCAGCCCCTGGTTTCCTTCCACACAAACAGCAGCTCCCTGGGCAGGTTTGGGGTTGGCGGGTGTCCTCTTGGGATGTGGCAGGTGTCCTCCAGGGACGCAGGTGTGGCTCTAGCATTCAGTTTTGCAGGGAAGTCTGCAGCCACCCCCGTTTTTTTCCTTTGACGTTAATCTGATTATTTTTCTAGATTAATCTTACTTCCGAGATGCTTGTGGATTCTTTTTCTTTCAAGTTTGGGACCTGTTCTAATATCTGTCTTCTATTAATCATCTTTCCATTTTATGTTTGTTCTTTTCCTCTGTTCTTGTAAAAAGCCTTGGGCCGGTCTTCTCTTTCAACATTGTGATTTTTTTCTTAACCCAATCCACAACTTACTGCCTTATTTTTTTCTTTTTCTTTTTTAAAAGATTTTATTTATTTTTAGAGAGAGGAGGAAGGAGGGAGAAAGAGGAGAGGAACATTAATGTGTGGGTGCTTCTCTTGCGCCCCCTACTGGGGACCTGGCCCACAACCCAGGCATGTACCCTGCCTGGGAACTGAACCAGCGACCCTTTGGTTCACAGGCTGGCACTCAGTCCACTGAGCCATGCCAGCCAGAGCCATAGTTACATTTCTGACTGGATGAATGGATCTTGGATGGCCGGAAAAGACTGTTCTGATAACTTTGTACAAACAAAGGGCCACCCCCTGGCTCAGTGTCCCTTGGGTCCTGCTCTTCCCAGGTGGGTCCACGCTGCAGGCTGAGAGGACCTCCATGGCCCAGGAACTTGGGCCCCTCTGCCTGGTCCCCCGCAGGGCGATCCCCTGGCCTGGCATGAGAGGTATAATGACACGTGTCTCCCTAGGGCGTCTGTGAGGAGATGACCTACGAGGAAATCCAGGAACATTATCCATTGGAGTTTGCCCTGCGGGACCAGGACAAGTACCGCTACCGGTACCCCAAGGGGGAGGTAGGTGGGGTTTGGGTGCTTAGTCTCAGGCAGCTGCCGCCTGCCTGGGAGGACCGCCTGTTGTGGCTGGGGCCCTGTGGGGGCTGCGGGGGCAGCAGGCGTGGGGGCCTGGCCTCAGAGGTGGGCCGGGCTGGGCGCACACATCCCCTCTGCCACCTGCCGGCCGCGTGGCCCAGGCTGTGGCCCCTCCAAGACTGGGGGAGGGTAGTGCCGCACGGGACCCCCCCCCCCGAGGCCCACTGGATCCTTGCTGCCCGTCACCTCCCACGTCACCCGCCCCCTTCTCGGGGGTGTCATGGGATGGTCCCCTCTCCCTGCAGCTTCAGAGATCGCCCCCAGCTCCGAATTCAGACCTAGGGAGACCTTCCCAGATGAGGCACGGCCACCACGAGCCACCCACACTTGTCACTTTCCCTCAGCCTGGCTACCGCCTCAGCGTAGGCCCCAGGTCAGAAGCAGGGTCACTTGCAGGGCGTGACCCGGGACATTGGCCGAATACAAATACCCCGCACAGACACACGTGTGTGCACTCAGGGGAGCCCCGCCTGGATGCAGGCCCTCAGGCAGGCCCTCGTGCTGTCCTGTCCCAGGGCAGTGCTGTTCCCCGCCTCGCGCTGTGAGGCAGAGCTCAGACCGAGAACCAGCCCAGAGAACAGCCGAAGAGACACAGTGGCTTGCTGCTCGACCTGAGGCTGCAGGGTGGGGACCCGCAGGGAGGTCACGGTTACCCCAGAACCAGCTTAGGGCTTCACCCGCTACTGGTGCTGCCCCAGGGCCCCACCTCCCAGTGGAAGCCTCTGAACCTCCTGGGCGCAGGGGTTGGCCCAAGGGCTCCCGAGGCCCCTCACGGGGGGGACAGGGCAGGCCGACTGTGAGGGCCCGGTCCTTCCTGGAACCTCGGGTGTGTCCGACAGGCCGCACTCTGGAAGTTCCAGGGGGGTCCTTGCTCCCCCGCCCCCTCCCGCCGTGAGCTGGAAGGGAGCCTTGTCTTTTCCATGTCAGGACCCAGTTGCCAGGGTCCTGTGGGTGGGCACAGAGGTGGCCCCTTGGGTTGGCAGCCTGAGGCCCCGCCCTGCCCTCTCGATCCCACAGGGGCCTGGCCCTGGGCTGGCAGCGGTGACCCATGTCCCAGACTGCCAGTCCTCCCTGGTCCCCTTGGCCCTGAGCTGCCCACCCCGTGGTCCCAGGAGTCAAGCCAGAGGAGACCTGGTCCCAGCTCCAGGAGTGGGCAGGTGGCCCACGACCCAGGGTGGCTCACCCCTACCCCCTGCCCCAGAGCTGGGCCTGAGGGACCCTTCCTGCTTGTCCTTGCAGTCCTACGAGGATCTGGTGCAGCGACTTGAGCCTGTCATCATGGAGCTGGAGAGGCAAGAGAATGTGCTGGTCATCTGCCACCAGGCAGTGATGCGCTGCCTCCTGGCCTACTTCCTGGACAAGACGGCAGGTGCAGGCCCCGCCCCCGGGAGGTGGGGGCCAGTGCAAGCGCGAAAGCTGGGGACTGAGGCCCGAGCATCCCCGCATGCCAGCCCTCCGTGTCTGTGTCCACAGAGCAGCTGCCCTACCTCAAGTGCCCGCTGCACACGGTGCTGAAGCTGACCCCTGTGGCGTACGGTAAGGGGGCGTCCCGCTCTCCGCCCCGCTTGCCTGACTCCTGCCTCCCTGCAGACCCCTTGAAAATTCCATCAGGGGCTCACCCCCTCCCTCCATCCCCCTCCCTCCCTTTCCTGATTTGCTTTTAAAACGTTTGTCTCCATTTCTGTGGCCTCAGGAGGCCTCCCCAGTGACCCCCCTTTACCAGCACCCTCTCCCGCATGAAGGGCTTTTCCACTGGTTTTTCCGCAAGCCCCACCTCTGCCTTGGGCCGTGCCAGCAGGGACCCCAGGCAGCTTCCTGCTGAGCTGCGGGGTCTGGGCGCGTGGCCTTCTGCACAGGTACCCAGGCGTCTCGGGGGTCCTGCCCTTGGAGGATGGGGGCAGCACAGTGGCAGCTGGTGTCACTCCAGTGTGTGTGTGTCCTCTGGTCCCCACTGCACTGAGCACCTGGCACGACGTGTGTGACAGGGTTGGGGGGGAGGGGTCTGGAGACCCTGGGGACTGCGCACGAGGACCCCGTGCTGAGCTGGGCCTGTTGCCCCTTGGACCCCTCAGCCCCTCGGTCCTCAGTGTGGGCTCCTCAGTGAGGCTGCACAGGGCAGTGGCATTTGATGAGCAGGGGCCTAACAAGGTGCCTTGTCCTTCCTCACGGGCCCCCAGAGCTGCCTGCGGGTGGGGGTCGGGCTCAGGCCTGTTCGGGCCGCAGCACCCCAGGCCTACCCCTTGGAGAAGGTCTGCCCCTGTGGCTCCAGCTGCCTTTCAGGAGGGGGACGGCTTTGCCTCTTCGTTTGGCAGGTTGTAAAGTGGAGTCCATATTCCTGAATGTGGCAGCTGTGAACACGCACCGGGACAGGCCTCAGGTACCGGCAGGGTCGCTGCTGGGCGGCAGCGGCTCCCAGGGGGGCCTGGGCGCAGCATCTTCCAGGGCCATGCCTGCTGGCTTGGCTGCTCGCCCCGGCTGCTCTCCCGTCTGCAGGGGGCGGCCTCGGGCTGGGGGTGGCGCTGCCCTGCCGGGGGCGGGGAAACCCCTGGAGCTGGGCCACCAATCTAGGACACCCCTGAGCCGGCATGTGGCTGGCTCCCCAGCAGCCCCCAGTAGAGGCCCGAGCCAAGGAAGGGGTCCCGGCGGGGGGCCTACAGGGGGCAGGTGAGGCTTCCACTCTCCCCCAGCAGCCCAGGCCTCCTGAGCACCTTTCCAGCTCAAGCACCTTTACAAATTAAAATGACGTGTTTTATTGGGGGAAGGGCCACGATGCTGGAGGCCCTTGGCACGGGGCAGGGGTTTCCCTGCAGGAGAGCAGCTCGCCCTCCTGTGTCCTCTCAGTGCCTTGTTTCAGATAGAGGAGCCCCGAAGTGTTTCCCAGAACCGCTCTCTGTGCCCGCGTGGGGCCCTTCTCTCACGTTGGTGGCCTCTCCCACTGAGGCCAAGAGCAGACCGCCCCTCCCAACCCTATTCCCAGCGTCCCCTGCCGCAGGGAGGCCGCCAGGGCCTGCTGCCGCCTATGATGGGGCATCCTGGCCCCGGGCAGCCCCGTGGCCTTGAGCCCCTCAGGCAGGGATGTGTGATGTGTCTTCCCAAAGCTGCTGCCTCTCACCAGGACCTGTCGCTGTCCTATTTGCCCTGAAGGACTGGTCCAGGCCCAGGCTGGCACCCCACTGGTGACCAGGGAAGATGTCCCGACAGGCATCCTTTGTGTTGTTTGCAGGGGCCTCCTCAGCCTCACTTTTGTTCTTGTGTTTCTCCACCGGCCACACACCCAGAGGCTCTGGATCCCGCGCTGTTAGGGAGGGTCGGGTGTGCAGCCCCGCAGCTGGGCACCTCGGTGGGAGAGCTGAGCCCGACTGCCTGCGGCAGTGAGGGAGCGGGCAGGGAGCAGGACAGCAGGTTGCTGTGGGGTGACAGTTCTGTGTTTCTATTTTTGTGCAGAATGTAGACATCTCGCGGCCTCCAGAGGAAGCCCTTGTCACGGTCCCTGCTCACCAGTGACCCCGTCTCATCCACTATGACCCCTGGGCTGGTGTTGATCTCTGCAGACAAGGTCATTCCAGGCCCCCCAGTCCATGTGACAGTCACCATGCAGGGGCACCCTTAAAGCCATACATTGCTGGTGGCGCCCAGAACCCTTGCCCCAGTCCACCTGCCTCCTGTTGACAAGGATGGGGTTGCGCCCGACCCGCTGCTAAACATCACTCGGCCAGACCGTGCCCGCCCCAAGGTGGCAAGAATTTTCCCAGCACCTTCTTTGGCGGCTTTCGCGTGATCTCCCTCACCGTCAGGCCGGCACTGTGAAGTGGAAACCCTAAAATGTGAAGCGGGGTGTTCCTCCCATGGCCAAGCTGCCCAGGTGCCCCTGGGGACCCCTGCAGGGACCCTGCTAGCCTGTCTGCGGCCAGTTCCGGAGCCAGAGGCGCGAGAGGCGAGGTCCTCATGAACTGCCGAGCCCGGCCGCCCTTTCATCATCGCGCCCTGCCCGGGGCCAGAGAGCTCCTGCCTCTGCGGACACCGGGAGCTGCCAGGCCCTTGTGTCAGAGCCGCTCAGGAAGGCAGTGGGCCCACGTTGGCACAACGCGACGTGCAGGAGTGTGGGGAGTGCGGGGAGCCCAGCATCTGCGGTCACCCTTCCCGTCTGTGCATACACTGGAGTATTTTGGCAGCTGGCGGCCAGGCCCCGCTTCCTGACAGCTCTCAGTGAGGCCAGGGAAAGACGGCTTTGGCGGGGGTGGCGGTGCTGTAGGAGCCACCTTCCCAGTGCACCTGCGGGGAGGCTGCCGTCCCATCTGCTACCCCTCCCTGCCACCCCGCCCACCTGGCCGCCTCTGGCCCTTGCTGCCTGTGCCCCCGCAGGAGTGCGCACAGGGCAGGGACGTGCATTTGCTGTGAGTGATCCGGAATAGCGGGCTGTGGTCCTGTAAAGCCCGGCCTGGCCTTGGGTGGCCTCCACCCGAGGTGCTTGCTGAGCAGGGGGAGGCCGGAACCTGGAGGCAGCCTTCTGGGGCGGGGGGGACTTCCTCAGACACATCACAGCTTTTGGTTCACGTGCACAGGAGCCTGTTGAAAAGGACCTGGGGGTGTCAGCCACGTGTCACACCCGGGAGCTCTGTCGGACCCAGAAAGGCAGGCCAGGCAGCAGGTCTGGCCCCATTTTACAGCTGGGAGGCGCCAGCAGGTCGGAGGTGGGTCGGAAGGTGTCTGGATCTGCAGTTGCATGCCTGCTGTCCACGGGGGACCTGGGTGAAGCCACGCCCCGGGACCCCAGGCCCCTTGGCCCCTGCAGCCTCCCCTAGGCTGTGCCTGGCGGGTGGCCACCTTGTGTGCTGCGGCAGCTGTGGACAGACGTGGTGGGGAGACGTCCAGGCGGGGCCGGGTGGCGTCCTCCTGGACTTGCCGCCAGTCAGAGCCCCAGGGCCGGAAGACCAAGCCACAGCCTTTGGGACGGGGGACTTCAGCCCTTGCTCCTGTGTCCACCGGAGTTTTGGTGCCGTGGTCACGTGGACACACTCACTTGTTAGCCACAGTGGGCGCCTTTGGTTAGAAACACATGCATGTGGGTGTCACCACCTGTCCAGGGCCTCAGGCTGGCCGAGGTGAGACCAGCGAGGCCATTTCGCCCTGTGCCCAGAGGGGAGTCAGGAGCTGTGGGACCTGGGGGTGTCCCAAGGCCTGGGCCTGGGATCCCGCCATGGACTTGGGCAGCCCTGCCCACCTCTGCCTGGGGTGGCTCCCTGCATGGGCCACCGCCTGGCCCCAGGTTTCAGCCAGGACAATTGATGTGCTACTGTTGTGTTTCCCTGCTCTCCCTGGAGCAGGTGGTAGGTCTCAGCCATATGTCACACTGTGTCCAGCGTTCTTTGCAATAAACACATTAAAAAAAATCCTAAAGTTCTATCCTGTGACCAGCTCCGCGGGCCCCAGGCTGTGGCCCCTAAGGGGTCCGTGTTGAGATCCTTGCCCCAGGCCCCGCCCCGGCCTGCCCCTGCGGCAGGAAAACTCTCGCCCTGGACTGAACCCCAGCCCCTCCCCACTGAGCAAGAGGCACGTGTGGGGGGTGGGGAGGACCTAGGGTGGAACACTGTTAAGTGGAGGGTTCTGGGGTCCCTGGAAATGTGTGTCCCCGATGTTGGCATCGTTGAGGAGGGGAACCAGAGCCTGTGTCAAGGATGAGGGACTGCACACAGCTGTGGGCAGGGGTGTTTTGCTAGTTGAGTTGGCACCTACACGGCTGGCAAAGATGGTGACAAGGGGTAGGGTTTTCCCTTTCCTGGGCCTCGGACTTTGATTGGATTGCCCACCCCTCCTGCCCTGGGGCTGGGCTTTTGGGAGCGCGGGTAGCAGGGGGGCTCCTCTGTGGACGGGATGGGTCCAGGCACGGCTGGGTGTCCCCCTGCACCTGTGTCAGAGCAGAGGGTGGCTGTGGCTGGGCTACTTCTGGGTGGCTCGGGGTCGCCAACAGCCGCGGCTGCGCCTTATCCAGCTGAGTCGGTGAGGTGGGGGACAAATCTGGGGGGCCAGCTGCAGCTGTCTTCCTGGCGGGTGAGGCAGGGGGATGCCTCGGTGGTCCACATCCTGTGCCTGGCACTGAGTTCTGGGGTGGACCCCTGGCCGCCTCAGAGGCTTCAGCGCTTTTTGAAGAAGATGTTGAAGATTTTTAGCAGCAAAACAATAGCAGAAGGAATAAAATATAACAATCAGAATTTTTCTTTGGGTTCGATGTTCTACCACAGCCTAGGAAGAGCGATCGATTGTATGTGGTCACGTTGAGAACTTCGTATCATTTTGGGTTGCTAGGAAATAGTGGCGGTTAAGTAGGATCAGAGGATATCTAGATCGAATGAAATGTTGCAGCGATACTTGAGTTATATTTATAATAACATTAATAAAGTAATATATAACTATCACCTGCCGAGGGGAGTCTCCTCCTGGGCTGGGCACACTGGCGCTTGAACACAACTGTTCTATTAAAAGTGAAAAATGCTTCCCTGCCTCGTGTGGCTCATGGGTTTGGTGGTGTCCCACAAAGCAAAAATTCCCTGGTTTGATTCCTGGTCTGGGTTGTGGTTGGGTTTCTTTCATAATGATGTTTATCTTCCTCTTTCTTCCTTTTTTCCACTTTCTCTAGAGATAAATTTAAAAGAAAATAAACCTTAAAGATAAAAAGTGAAAAATGCCTTTGCGGGCGGGTCAGAACTGGTATCCGCCCCCGCCCTACCCTGGTTCACGGCCACGGGAAGTGGGGTGGGGGGAACGGAGGTGCCGGCCTGAACCTGTGCTACTTCCACAGGGTTCCCCTCTCAACCCAGGAAGGTGTCCGCCCCGCTTCGTGCAGGGCCCCTGATCTCATCGTTTGTGAGCCGATCTCGTCTGGGAAATGGTGACAAATCCTCTGTTGCAGCCAAGTCTCCATTGGTCAGCTCTCCAGTTATGTTGTCCTACACACCGAGTGAGCCCTGCTGTGTGCCAGTCTTGGCGCCTCCCTCTCTCTGGAAGCTCAGCAGTGCTACTTGCCCCCCACCCCGCCCCCGCCCCGTCACCCAGGGCCCTGGTGTCTGCACAGCAATCAAGGAGCCATTTCAACAGAGTGTCCCCAATGAGAAGCCCTGGTGCATGGAAAACAGTGTTTATTACGGGCTGCATCGTGTGTCCCCCTCCCCACCAAATTCATACATTGAAGGTGTTACCCCACCACCTCATAATGTGACCTTATATGGATATAGGGTCATTGCAAGATGTAATAAGTTGAAGTAATACTGGAGTGGGGTGGACCCCGGCCCCAAAATTCCCTGGCGCCTTCCGAGAGCGAGAGCAGGGCCCTGCCCTGCCGACACCTTGGTTTCGGACTTCCAGCCTCCAGAGCCGTGAGGCAGATGGTGACTTGTTTAAACTGCTCAGTGTGTGGTACCTTGTGGCAGCAGCCCTAGCAAACAAACTTTTCAAAGATGGTGAACTAACTGCCTGAGGCCTGAGGCCCTGGAGAGGGAGCCTCTGCAGGGACTCGGGGACAGTGAGCTGTCTGAGAAATTCAATCCAACATTTGTTTTGAACGAGTCAGTGAATCTCGCTGAGGCTTTGGGGTCTCTCCTCTCGGTTCTGCCAGGGAGCTTATGACATCGTGGTGGCAGCTAGTGAGACCCAGGTTCCCCTCAGTCAAGCTCATAGGTGCACAGAGCAACCCCAGGGGCCTGGGTGGGCACCTGTATCCAGAACTCCTGGCACGTGCACTGTATTGATAAACTCAGCCCAAGCTAAACAGAGAGTCACCTCCTTGGTCGAGAACCTCAGACGTTTCCCACAAATTCTCCATGTATTGACCAACATGAAATAACAAAGTCTTAGGACTCTTTTGACATATAAGCCTTCCCTTCTGGGTTTGACTTTATAGCAAGGTCTCCAAACATGCTGGAGTGTTTTGTTTTTTTTTAATTTTTTTGAGAGCACTTTTATTAAGGCTGCGACAGTGAAATCAGGAAGGGCTTAGGATGGAAGAAGCCACAAGAGAGAGCCCAGACGGGGCTGCGGTGGTTGTCTGGGAAGTCAGAGAAAAGGGGCCTTGGAGACAGGTTCAGGGGGTCCTCCTGGGATGAGCTGTGGCTGCCCCCGGCTCCCCCTGGTGGCAAGCCTCAGCCTCGTGGGGTCCCTTAGGAGAGGCCTGTGTGGGAAGAAGAGAGGGAAGGGGAAGGCGCGGGGTGGGGGGGCCGTGCTCCTGGGGGCGGGGAGAGCAGGCGGGCGCTGGAGTTCGTCTCCAGTGTAAGGCACTGGAGAGGAGAAGCGGGGGAGATGGACCGCGGGGGCGTGGGCTCCAGACTGCACAGCAATTCCCTCACAGGTCTGCAGGGGGCGTGGGGGCGCCTGCCTCGCTGGGTGAGGGAGGTGCGGAAGGCTGGATGGGGGCTATTTGATTCCTCTGGGTTCTTTTCCATATCTTAATCTGTTAAAATTAATGATTTAGAATGAAGCACCTACCAGGAACTAAGCAGTGGGGAGAGCAGTGAGCGAAACCGAGGCCAGGTAAACGGAGTCAGGGGCTCCTGCTGCCTGTCGCCGCCCAGCCAGAAAGCAGAAGCGGAAACCCGGGAAGGTGGAGGGTAAAAACCTTCGCCTCCACCTTCCCCCAAGCGTGTCAGGGGCAAGTTTCTCCAGGGCCAGCGTGGGAAGGAGCCCAGAGGGGGTCCTGGCGAGGCGCAGTTTTTGGCATTTGCGTCCTTGTAGGAGTTTTGGCCTTGGTAAATATCTTCATTACCAATTTCTGGAACAGAATGGTCCGCGTTCTAATAAGGATGCCAGAGCCACTCAAGTGATGCCCAGGTAGACGTTATCCCAGTGTTTCTGGGTGCAGTCGATCAGTCACCGCCTCTCCTGGTGACCGGGCATGAGGTTCAGGGCTGGGTTAAAAGTCCCTTTGTTCTTTCCTGGTCAGCTGTTAACTGCAACAAAATCTCAGCCAGAATATAAGGTTAATCGTATACATTTGATGACTTGGTTACACATTCTACTAGTAATCATCTAAGGCTGTAATGGAGGAGGGAGAAAAGAAAGGAAAAAAATCTTATTTTCTATTCTGCCCTTTACAACTCCTGCCATAAGCAGGGTGGGCAAGGTCCCTGCTCTCCCAGAGCTGACATCCCAGAGGTGGGAGACACAGTAAAATAAGTCAAGCCCTGGCAGGCGTGGCTCAGTGGATTGAGCACCGGCCTGTGAACCAAAGGGTTGCTGGTTTGATTCCCAGTCAGGACACATGCCTGGGTTGCGGGCCAGGTCCCCAGCAGAGGGCGCATGAGAGGCAACCACATATTGATGTTTCTCTCCCTCCCCCTCTCTCTAAAAATAAATAAAAAAAGAAATGACATATATGAATATATCAGAGGGGAGGGAGTGGGAGCGGGGTGTAAGACAGCTTCACTGAGAAGGCGACCGAAGGCTGAGATGAAGCCGTGGCGCATCCCACAGCCAGCGTGAGGCTCTGCCGCCTGGCAGGCTGTGCCCGGCGAGGTCCCGGAACACTGAGGGCCCTCCTGTGATTCTGAGGGGACACTTGTGGCTGCCCAGAGCCTTGTCCTTGTATCACCTGAGTGACCACCTGTGGTGTCTTGTTTTCTGACATCACTTCAGACACTAAATTGTTTTTTTACACCAACAACCAATTCTCGGATTCTCCCACACCAACTCATTTTTTTTAATTGTTTTTTTTTTTTTTAAGAGAGAGGAAGGGAAGGAGGGAGGTGAGACAGGAGAGTAAGAAGCTAGGAAATCCCTTGGCAAGTGGAACAGGGAAACTGAGACAGACAGCTGAACACAATGGCGAGCAAAGCACAGCCAGGCGCAGGTGGCCACCAGGGCGGGAGGCCTGGCAGGGGCAAAACTGGGGAAATAAGGACCCCGCCTCTCCTCCGCCCGCCTCCCCCCCCCCCCGCACACACCATCCGGCCTCAGTTATGTTTCAGTTCCAGGCCCAGAAAAGCAGCAAAACCAGGTGGGTGACGCCAGAACCAACTGCAGTGACTGAAGCCCCCTGCCCTGTCACTGACCAATCAGTGGAGGCCAAGGCCCTGAAAGGGCGCACCTGGGAAACTGAGGCACGTTCTCCTAAAACCCTCCCCTGGGATCCCCGTCTGCAAGGACCCAGCCCAGCGTGTATGCCCTCCCGCTGGGGAGCAGCTGGCGCGGGCCGTGCACTTTGCTTTCCTTTTCCCCTGGGCCACCGCCCCTGCTTCTTTCTTCATAGGCTCACGCCTCCTAAACTCTAAGGCAACGAGCAGCTGGCAGCTCGTCCCACTCAGTCTGATCCCGTGAACCTGTCCCTAAATTAGCCCCTTTTCTCTGACTTCCCTGTGAGCGGAGGCAGCCCAGCCTGGGCTCTCCTGTGTCTCCTGTGCCAGCACTTTCTTGTTTCCTTGTCCCAGTTTTAATAAATGTCACCTGGACTCGTGTTTGAAATCTTTCCTACAAAA